CTAAGAGAAAACAACCATTATGATCTTGTTTGCTGAAACAAATTTAGACTTGTCCACCAGATTTATTCTCCTTAGCTAATGATATAGTGGAGCCAAGATCCACCCCAGTATTAGGATGCCCTGTTCTGGCTGAGCTTAAGTACAATCCTGCCACAGTACCTGGGAGAAAAATAGATTTTCATAGCACCATTGTTGTGGAACTGTTCCATAGGTAATGCAAAGTATTTTGGTATCACTTGGTCATAGGTAAGCAATAAAGATCTAAAAGATTTGCACCTAGTAAAGATAAAAACTGCAAGAATTGGCTTGTTGGTAGGAGACAATACAGATGCCTATATCTTTGAAATCTCCTTGGGGTGTGGCTATGGAGACTATCAAGATGAGTACCTATACTTCAGGGTTTAGTACTATATTACTAGGTATAGACCTCAGGGTGCAAATGTTGTACACACTTAGCTGGAAGTAACTTGTACTACATTCAGTGTGTACTTAAGCATTGGGGGATTGCATTATCAGAAGGGAACCAACAAGCATCACTGTGGTGTGAGTCATACACATTTAAACTAGATTGGAATACACTTTTTATTATGTAAAAGGTTTTAATCTGCCATGCATTTAATTGTTCTAATTTCCTGGTGTGAAAATGTATTTTTAAACTGACCCAGTTGTTTTATGCCCCCTCATGCTGTGGTTTTCATGATTTAATTGATTAGTGTATTTACTTTTATCTTACTCTACTTTGTTGTATTTTTGTATTTTTAGTGTGGAACCTGCCTTGTGGGCCCAAAATCAGGGTAGATACTTTCTATCATTGATAAAATGACATACTGTAAAATGTTGAAATGCTTCTTTTTTTCATTGCTGCCATGTGTGTATATATGTGCCTTCAAGTCACCTAATTGAATGTAGTGTGTTAAGTAACCCTTGAACACAACAATGCATGGTTCTAAAGCTTAAACCCAACTCATATTAGACCAAAGAAACACACTGGCAACTAGTGCAGCTGATACAATATAGCAATCACATGAGCTGAACCAGCCATGAACCAAATGCCAGTTTTGGAGGGATACAGTACAGCAGCCTGTCAACATATGGCAACCCCATAAATTTCACAGGGCTTTCTTAAGCAAGGAATCCTCAGAGATAGTTTTGCCAGTTTCTTCTTCTGAAATATAGTCTACAGCACCTGGTATGCATTGGTAGTTTCCCATCCAAGTAGTAGCCAGAGCTGACCCTGCTTAGCTTCCAAGATCAGACAGGATCTGGTCCCTTTAGAGCGTTTAGGGCCATTACAGTGTCAATACTTTCATACCTATGACCCAAAGATCTTTCTTCTTTTGGGGCCTGGCTGAATCTTTCTAGGAATGCAATCATTCATCTCTTTTGTATCCATTCCCCCAGTTCTTCATCAGCCTGACATGTTTTCTTTTTATAGCAAGAACAATTAATATAGTTTTAAAGAAATGTCCCATTATTTAAGAAAGATTTCTTTTATTGTAGAGGCCAGAATCCAACAAAAGTTAGGATCCAGGTGGAAAGTCAACCTTCATAACCAAAATTAAAGGGCAATGATCAAATTAAAAATAATTAATTCAAGCTCATTTTAAATTTAATTGATTGGCCTTCATCATAAAATGCACGAAAGAATATCTGCTGTCCTTGCAAGGCTGAGCTTTTCATCTCAAGCACATGTCTGAACTGAGAAGCTCAGGCCTTCGTAATTCCATAGATAATGATCAATCAGATATAATTATCAGAAGGGAATTCATCCTAATTGATTCCCAGGAATGGATTCTGCTGTGCTGGCATATTCAATGTGTTTTTAGCCTTAGACACATTTACCAATAATTGGTCTCATTAGCTATTCATTGGAATCAGGGAAGGAGTAGACAAAAAAGCATTCACTAGTTTGCAAATGTTAAGGATGGATAATGTCACTGATTCATCAGCATGGTTCTGGGTCTCTGCTAATTAGCAAGAGTTAATAGAATGAAGTGACCACAAGAGTGCCTCCAGGGAAAGGACTGCCAGGCAATATCACATGATCAGTAGGAGCAACATCTTCATAGTCAATGCAGGGGTGGGGAAATTAAATCTAATTAAATCTAAAATACATCCCCTAAAATTATTTGTGTAGTATCACTGTAATAAAGAAGTGCTTTGGTGCAAAATTAATAATTGTTATATAGCTGATTAGGGGGAAATTGTTTTCAAAATCGTATGCAATTGCCACTTCTAACACAGCTATGTTATACCTACTTTGTTGAAGGATCATAGGAGGACAGGGAGAAAGCTAGAAGTTACGACATTAATAGAAATGAGGAAGACTGTGACAAATGTATGGAAAAGAAGGCAGAAAGAATCATAGCATCATAGAATCAAAAATTATAATAGAGTAGGAAGGATATGCAAATCTGAAAATCAGCTTAATCTGTCTGCATATATATTTTATCTGAGAAGAAGCATTTAAATTTGTAGCTTAGTATTTAAACACTCAGGCCTGGCCTAATTCATTTTGCTGCCTGGAACAAAGAACAAGATGGATATGCTTTTCCCATTCCACATAAAGAAATCAAACAGGCTGAAAGGTGAATCTTACTTCAACACTCACAAAGAGACAACAACATCCACTGAACCTGGGTGATGCTGGGTGATGGAGGCCCAAAACACTATGTAGCAAGCATATTCCATTAGAGGAAAATAGTTGGGGTTTCAGGAGGAGAAATTTAAAGAACTACTCCCTGTTATCATGCTGCCTGACACTCTTACTAACTGTAGGGCTTCAGATCTACACTAAACATAAGTGTCCTTAGAAATATGTGGATAACATTTCTCCAGTGCTTAATAGGAGCATCAAGACAGACCCCCCAAAAAGTCCTTTTTCACACAGGCAGTGTGGTGTGGCAGTTGGTGGCTTCCATGTTAATAAAGTGGTGAATCCACACTGGGTTTTAGACCAAACATTAAAATAATCATATCTCCCAAATAGGTTCAGTACCTTGGATATTGACTTCAAAGTTTGTAGATTTGCAGATTCACCACTCCATGGACATGGAAGCCATGGCTAGTGTTGCATTGGGATTTAGGAGAGTCAAGTCCCCACTGATCCATAAAAGTCATTATAGGATATTGGGGGGGGGTGCTCTCTCTTGTTCTCATTCAGCCTGCTCTACTTCACAGGGTTCTTGAGTAGCAGCTCCATGCCTTGAGTCACTGAAGGAAAGATAGTGGATAGATATTAAAAATCCAAACAATTTTCTGGAACTTGCTTCCCATAGGCATTGTACTGATCACTATAGAAAACTGAATGCTGAACTCAATCAGCTGTTAATCTGATTCAAGATGGCTTTTCTTCTATTATTATTTTTAGAGGGAAACATCTGCTTTTGAGACTGGTCAGCTTACATTATTTTAGATTTTCCTTAAAAATAGTGACTTTCCTCCTTGTGACACCAGTGAAAGAACTTTTTTTTCTAGCTATTCTGGTACTGAAAGGAGTATAACTGTGCAGCAGCAACAATTCTCCTACAGTTGACAAGCTTGTATTAAGCCTCTGTGTATTACACTTGGCCTAGCCTACAGATCAAGTTTCCACCCAGGATTGGCCTTCCATAAGGCAGGGTGAGGCAACACTTGCTTCAAATGGTGATGTATGAGGGTCAGCCAGAGATGCACATGTATCACTGAAGGGGCCCCTATGTCCCTTCTGGAGAGACCTGTTCAGATGTGGCAAATGCTACTGCTAGGAAGCAGGCAGGCCTTCAAAGTGGGGCATTGGTGGGCTCTAGAGAGCCATGCCAGGTGCTTTCCTGTTGCAGCAATAATGCAACAGAGACTAGGTTTCTTACCTTCCCCTCCCCTTTTAATGTTAAAGGTATTTGAATCTGTTAGCCACACTGTGGACATTAAGGCCTAAGACAGTCATATATTATAGCCAGATGCTTGCTGGCACTGACAAAGATCTGGTTTAATACCAGTGGAACATAAAGTTTTGTTAGCATTCTTATGCTGATGGAGGTGATAGCAGTGATAATGAGGGACAGGTGCATGGGAGTGTTTTTGTAGCTTCCAACCCTTCAGAGGTCATTTCGGAGACATTCGGATGGATATTCCCATTTGATGCCTAGTGTGGATCAGTTTTAATACCCCCTCTTCTCTTCAACAGGCTTTTCTGGATCTGATGGAGCTACTAGCTGGACAGTAGAGGGAGAGGACTCTTTAATGCCAGGTCAACAAGGCCACCAGACCCAGAAGGCAGCCCTTATACACCAGCGCACTGAGTGACAGCCTCCTCTGAGGCATCACCCAGTGCAGTGCACATCACGCACACCACCATAATGACACCCCTGCACTACAGCCATGCATGAATTGCTGTGGCTCTGTGTCTCTGTGATAGGACTGAATGGGGAAATGGCTTGTATAAGAGATATTTGATTCTTTCTTACTCAAGGGTGTAAATAGTACAACTACCTGCATAATCAGAAATTACACTGACATTTGACCCCAAGAGGTTTTTGAACACTGGAGGCTTGGTAAACTTCTGTTTGTGTGTGTGAGGGTTTTTTTAAGGGTCTTTTGTTATTGTTACTGGTACAAGAGTGGGCCTGAGCATCTCCAGGTTGGGCACAGGTATAGAAGTAAAGGGAAATCACTTGGATACAGATAAGGAGGTTAAATGTAGTGCACAGTAACTCAGGCATAAATGAGGTAGAAAAATGGGATAGTTGGCACTATTTGGAACTCAGATTCTAAGTGACACTATGTGGTACAGATGTTTTAAGTTTTCTGTGAAATAAAAGGTCAGCTTCATCTCACCAAACAAAGGAAAACAAGTTAATGCAAGAGGGAGGACCACTTTTCCTGGAATAGGTGAGCATAAGAACCAATTAATATCCAGATTTTAGCATGATTAAATGATGCCAGCATCATTTTTTGATGTGGAAGTTAGGAATCATTTTTAAAAAAAAATTAATTGTTTAGGAGGAACTTGAATGGTGTGAGCCAGTGTAGTGTAGTGGTTTCTGTATTGGACTGTGACTCTGGAGACCAGGGTTCAAATCCCTGCTTGGCCATGAAAACCCACTGCATGATCTGGGCAGGTCACATTCTTTCAGCCTTAAGAGCCTTCAGAGGGGGTTTGCAAAGGCAAACCCCTTCTGAACAAATCTTGCCAAGAAACCCCTGTAATAGGTTCACCTTAGGGTCACCATAAGTTGGAAACAACGTGAAGGCACACAACAGCAACAGTTGTTTGGAAAGAATTGTTTGTTGTCTCCACCATCTTTCAAACATCAACAGAGAATTTTTGCCCAGCTAGCACTGAAAGTTCAATTCTATTTTTCTTAAGTGTTTCATCTTACATTTGGTGTGAGTCAGGAATTTTTGAACCTTTCTCTCTCTCCTTTCTTTCTTTCTTTCTTTCTTTTAAAAAAATATAAATATATTTAAATTGAATTATAACCTTTGCTCCTCAGGAATCATAGAATCATAGAATCATAGAGTTGGAAGAGACCACAAGGGCCATCCATTCCAACCCCCCTGCCATGCAGGAACTCCCAATCAAAGCATCCCCAACAGATGGCCATCCAGCCTCTGCTTAAAGACCTCCAAGGAAGGAGACTCCACTACTCTCTGAGGAAGTGTGTTCCACTGTTGAACAGCCCTTACTGTCAGGAAGTTCCTCCTAAAAGAACTTGAGGTGCAATCTCTTCCGGCAGGCCTTTCAGGACTAATGATCCCCACCTCAGATACAAACAGCCGCACTAATGGCGATCCTCTCGTGGCCCCATCGATCTGATGGTGAGGACTGTGTGTCAGGCTTTTTAATTTATTTGGTATTGGGTTTTTAAATTGCACTGTTTTAATTATCATTGATTTAATATTATTTTAAGGGGGGAGGGGGCTACGTGGTATTTATTGTCTTTGGGTTTTTATGTAGTATTCGGTGTGTTTTAATCTGTAAAATGCCCTGATTGGATTACCATTGGGCGGGGTATAAATAAATATTATTATTATTATTATTATTATTATTATTATTATTATTAAAGTTGAGGTGCAATCTCTTTTCCTGGAGCTTGTTCCCATTGTTCCGGGTCCTAGTCTCTGGAGCAGCAGAATACAAGCTTGTTCCCTCCTCAATATGACATCCCTTCAAATATTTAAACACAGCTATCATATCACCTCTTAATCTTTTCTCCAAGCTAAACATACCCAGCTATCGAAGGGCCTCGGCAGACGACTAATTGAGTCGTCTTCCGGGCCCAGAAGAGGAGGGGCAGCCGCACGTTCGGCGCCCCTTCCTCTCCCTGAGGTCGCCCCCGGAGTCGCCGGCCCTCCGCACGGCCGGCGCTCCGGGGATGACCTCACGCCGCGGCGACCACATGCGCCGCGGCGGAAAAGACAGCGAAAGTGCGCCCGCCGCTTTTAGTGCGCACTTTCGCTGTCTTGAGGAAGGAGCGCTGATTTAGCGCTCCTTCCAGGGTCGCCGACGGTGCGCCGCGGTGCGGCTGCCGCGGTCCAGCGGCGCTCCGTCCCGCGGCGCACGGGAAGCTCCCGTCTGCTTCCCCCCTAAGTCTCTTCTTATAAGGCATGGTTTCCAGACCCTTCACCACTTTAGTTGCCCTCTTTTGGACACCCTCCAGCTTGTCAACATCTTTTTTGAATTGTGGTGTCCAGAGCTGGACACAGTATTCCAGGTGAGGCCTGACCAAAGCAGAATAGAGTGGCACGATTACTTCTCTTGATGTAGACACTATACTTCTATTGATTCTATTGAGGTGGGCTGATTATCCAGATTCTAAAGTGAAAATGTTTTTTTCAAGCAGCTTTTTAATACATAGTTGCACCCGGGGGGGGGTGCTTCTTATTAGGGTGTTTGCTTGGTATGTTGTTAGTGGTTTTATATTTTTAACTTAGTATTTTTAAGGATTTTGCATTTTTATTTGTTATATTGTGTTGTTTTAATTGTGTTTTGGAGGTGTGCTCTTTTATTGTTGTTTTTAAGCTTTTGTGAGATGCCTTGGTCTAAGTTGGCGAAAAGGCATCATACCAATACAACAAATACATAAATCAGGAGTATAGTTGCAACTCCCTTTGGATTGACCAATCCAAGTGCCAATCTTTATAATTATTCTTACAAGAAAAACAGCCAGCATGTGGTTGACCAGAATCTGTTGTTTCTAAGATGTCTTGCTCTGTCTTCATCCAATTATGAGTAGAAGCAGCAACCATTTCTCAGGCTTTTGAATTCCTCAGGAAAATTCACTTGAAACTAACTTGTAAAAGAAACTAACATTCCAAATGAAGATGGTTTCCTGTTGCCTGTAAAGTTTTCCTTGTGTTGTTTCATTTCAGAAATAACAACAACAGCAACAACTATTTATAATGCTCTTTCCACCAAAGGGTGGTATATCAGAAAATATACAATAAAAAGCAAACAATAAAACACCACTCTATAAAATACTAAAATACTAAAACAATATACTAATATACTAAAAACATACAAACAAAATCCTCCTCAGTTACTACCCATCTCAGCCACCTTAGGTATGCTCAGCAATTTAATCTGGAACAATTGTGTTCTTATATGAAGTAAGACAACAGCCTATTCTTCTTTTGGCTAGACTGGAAAGGTTACTCTTACTGATTTCAGTGGTTTTTGATCTGGCCCCAAACTAAGCAATGTTCAAATTACAGAATGTGTTTAGGCTCCTTAGCTATTTGATGGCTCCCTTAGCTACTGGTTTTTGAATTTTTCAGGGATGTGATATGGTTAGAATCAAGAAGATTCAAGAAATGGAGTTTATGGTTTTCATTAAGGGTCCCATATATTTTCCCCCTTCTAGTTGAACACTGGCCAGAACTACAGCTAAGTAGCGTTGTGTGTTAATGGCTTCTTCAAATAAAAGAAACAACAATGTTGTGCACTGTCATTTTGTTTGCCAGTGCAACTTGCTATGCATCCTTCTGTCTCAGAATGCCACTGTTCATTTTAAATTTTGTATGGCTGTAAACATTGCCATTTTTTACATTCATTAAGCTCAGGACCATTTACTCTTTGCAAGTGAACTGCTTTCCTATATCTCATACCTGGTAAGCATCCATTCTGAGTCACGCAGTAAATAAATGAGTCTAAGCCAGAAACCCAATTTCCAGAGCCCAGATCACTAAGGCTAAGTGAAACACCTGAGATAAATGTAACCTATTTCCAAAGAAACGAGAGTGCAATTTGATAACTGTCGACAATTCCCTTATTATGCCAAATGAGTTTGTCAACCGAAAGGATTGCTATATGGTTGATCTTAATTTGTAAATAAAAATGATGAAGAGATAATTAAGTGATAACTATTGGAGTCATAAAGACATAGTATGTTTTTTTTAAAAGTGAGAGAAAGATAAATGGCTTTGTTGGTGGAGATGGTGGTGGTTGTGGGGGAGGGGGACTACAAGAAATAATTGATAGATACAGGAGAAATTAAGTACAATTCCTTCTTCCAGTCTTTGTTGTTATTGTTGTGTGCCTTCAAGTCGTTCCCAATTTATGACAATCCTAAGGTGACCCTATCGGGATTTTTTTTTTGCAAGTTTCTTCAAAGGGGGTTTGCCATTGCCATCTTCTGAGGCTGTGAGAGTGTGACTTGAACAAAGTCATCCAGTGGGTTTTCCATGGCTGAGCTGGGATCTGAAACCTGGTTTCCCAATTTCCCAGTCCAATGCTCAAATCATTACACCAGCCCTGCTTCAATTCACCACATATTTATACCCATTATATCAATAATTATGGGTTTGGAACCATGGATTAGCCAAAACAACATGAGGTTTGACCTTAATAGAATCATCCATCTGGATGCATCCTACCTCTAATACCATAAAACGTTTGAATAAGGAAACAGTAAGTTACCATCTCACAGTATTCCACAACATTACATTTATTAATAAAATGAGGCCATGGCATGAAGTACATTTTAGTAAGAGGCAACATTTATCCCTTGACAGTGGCCTGTTTCAATGGCAGTCTGAACATCTTAATAGAAGATGATGACTCCACTATTTGAAATTTCAGCAGCTGTTCCATAATCAATACTAAGATTTTCTCCTTAAGTAGAGTCAGCTCATATATTACACTAAGGATCCTTTCTGGGACCCTTTGCATAACATGATTTTCTTGTATAACCTGGAATCCAGGGGAAAAGAGGGGGAAGGGCACTATATGAATAGGCCAGTGCTGCTGCAGAATCCATTGCAGGCACTCCATGAGGCAGAAGGGACCAGGTGAGCAGAATGAGAGACTGGAGAGGCAGACAGGCAGAGACTACCACCATCATGCACGCCTCCTGGTTTTTGCTATAGGCTCCCCCTGGGGCCACTACCACTGGGACGGCCCCAGCAAGCCATCTTTGAGACTGTCAGGACCTGCTTCCCTCCCTCACCTAGTGACTGTGCCAAAGCAGAGAATGGGTTGAGGAGAAAGACAGCTGGTGAACAGTGTGGGTGACCCACCTAGTTCCAGAGAGAGTCTGAGTAGGAGAAGGACTGCCACTGTCCCCGAGGTGAGCTGCACAAACATTACACATAGGGCACAAACATTACACATAGGGCTCAATCAAGGCATGAAGGCATGCTCTGAGAGGCTGGGCCAGGACTGGCATGTCTCTGTCACTTGAAGCTAGCAGTCTTTGCCAGTGCTTTCTTGCTGCACAGGCTGAGCCACATTGTGGCTGGCAGGGTGGGCATTGATGGCAGTGGTGGCAAGGGACAGAAGGGCCTCAGCCCTGCAGTGCCTGCTGTGGGTGCTGTCCTGTGCTGTGCTTTGGTGGGGGCAGTGGGGCTGCTGGCATCAGCAGAGAAGGTCTGCTACTTCCTGATCTCCCCGCATCTCTCTCAGCTGGATGAGGTGGCAGCACCCTGCCTCTCCTTCTTCATCATCCCCTACAACCTCCATGGGGTCTGACATTCCAAGCACACACACAATGACATCTATCATGTGGACTGGTTACTGGTGTGGCACAGAAGGCAAGGCTTTTGCTATAAATAGAACCACGTAATACTAACTCACGTAATACACAAACCTACC